CTGATGGGCCCATGTCCCGCCACCGCTGCCAGATGGAGGAGGAGGAGGAGGAGGAGGAGGAGGAGGAGGAGGAGGACCTCCTCGTCCTCCCCTCTCCCCCGCCCTGCCCGCGGCAGCGGTGGCGGCACATGCGCCCCTCGCCCCCCGCCCCTCGCCCCCGAGCCCGGCCCCGCATCCCGAACCGCTTCCCGACGCCCCCCCGGGGGCCCGGCGAGGGGCCTCTCGGGCGGCCCAGGGCGCGGCCCGACGCCTCCCGCCGCGATGCTAGGTTTCGGGTCGGGCGTGCCCTCCTGCAAGCAGACTTTTTGGACGAAAACTGGCACGTACTCGTAAGTCGGGCCTGTCCCCCTACAGGGGGATTTTCGACGAAAAATTGGAAATACCCTAAAAATAATCAAAGAATCATCCAAAAATAGTCTGGGGACTATTTTTTTTGCATTTTTCCCATTTTGGAATATTGTGGGGTATTTTTAATTTTCCATCGAAAATCCCCCTGTAGGGGGACACGCCCGATTCAAACGTACTCAAAAAAAGTCCCAGAAATGGTCAGCTGTAATCGAACATCGTCCCCAGAATCATACTTCTTGAAGCTCTCTCTGCATGCCCCCCCCCCCAGTAGAGGGACCCGCCCGACTTCCTGCTGTTTCTTGGTTGCGACACTAGCGTGTCTCGGCCCTGCCCTTTGTGGGCCCCGGAAACGGCGGGGCCGTTTTTTTCACCGTTTCCAAAAAAAAATCCCCCTTTGAAAATGGAAACGGCAAAAAACGGCGACCGGAAACGGCAAAAAAAGGCTCCAGGATTGGAACCGGAGCCGGAACCGGTCAAAACACGTCGACGGAACCGGTAAAAACACGGCGTCGGAACCGGCAAAAAAACGCAGAACGGAACCGGTAAAACAACGGCCCTGTCGTTTCCAGGGCCCACTGAGGCCCTGCCTGGGTCTGGATCTGCGCCTCCTCCTCCATCTCCGGCGCGCCCTCCTCCGCGTCCGAGTCGGGCGCGTCGGGCGCCCCCGGCGCCTCGCCCGCCGCCGCGCGCCCCCAGGGCGCCCACGGGAGGAGGGCCCGCAGGAGCCCGCCCGAGGGCCCCGGCGTGGCCGGCGCGCCGCCCGCGCGGCCGGCGCCCTGCGCGCCCGACGCGCCGTGCAGGGCCCGGAGCCTCGGATCAGAGCGTGAATTACCTAATTACCCCGCTTTCGCTTCCAGGCAAAGCCAAGTCATACCACGCGCCTCCTCGTCAGGCGGCCTGACCAGTACAGGCCGTAGTTTGGCACCGCTTGGTATCTCTCGGAAGCGAGCGTGGTCAGAAGCGAGGTCGGTTTGTTTGCCCCCTATCGGAGGCGACCGCTCGGTGACAGGAGTGACCTCCCAACAGGGGTCGGAGCGGAGGGACGGGTGCCAGCGCCGCCAGCTCTCCCCCGCGTGTTCTCGCCTCTTCGGGCCTCCTCTGGGGAGCCCTCGTGGCCGCGGCGTCATGCGCCTCGGAGCCCTGGTCGGAACGCAGGTCAGGAGTGGTCCAGGGAGTACTGGCGTCGGCATCGGAAACCCCATCCCCCAGAAAATAAAGCATCCCCCCTTCCCCCTTGTATCTATTTGCCCACGGGCTTGAATATGGTTCACATGCCACAGCAGGCGGGGAGGCCGAACTTTAGCATCCCCCAGACATTTCGATCGTAGCTCCGATGTTCATCTCATGAATGGCACCATGAATAATCCGCATTGTCATGTCTTGAGGATGTCCTAGGCGAAACGCACAGCTTCGAAGACTTGCCGAATTCGCCGCTATCGTTGTTTCGATGATGTTTCCAACAAAACGCTTATTTTTCTAATAGAGCAACAGAAACACAAAGATCAGCTTGATTACCCCAAGGGGATTGTCACCAGCATGGGGTTACGTTACCTCAAAATCCAAAGCAGAGGCCCAGCCGAACCCAATCAATCCAGGCCTCCCAGCCAGATGGAACGGGATTAGATGGGGGGTCGGAGGATCGCGCCATCGCAAATGCATCGGGGCCGTCGGCGTCGAGAAAATCGGGCTCCACATCGAGCCGCACTGCAGGCAGCTACATCGGAAGTGCGACGCGATCCTCAGAGCCAGTCTGCTTCGACCCTATTTCGGGAGGCCCATAGAAGTGAACCCTGTACCTGCGGGTCAAGGGTCTGCAACGCTTGCCAGAGTTCAGAATCCGAGGGATGCCCGCAATCATGCGGACCTGAACAGAGCCAGACATGAAACTAAACTGGAGGGGGCATGCGGGATGCAGCTGCAGTGGACCCAAAGACCTACTAGAGGGGGCATGCATGGCATGCAGGAACCTAAACTTCCGGCACTCCGCGCGGAGGGGGCGGCGCCAGAGATGCCAGCAGCGGGGCCCCGGCGCCGATCCAAGGAATCCGCGCGGAACTCCAGAAGTGCATGCCTATGTCATGTTCTCTGTTCTGTTTCTCGAGGACCCCCGCCGGGGTGTCCAATGCCCCAGCGTCGAGTGGACCCGTAGGGGTAGGGCTACACGTCGTTCATTTCTAATCCTGCTCATTTCTAATTGCGCTCGTTTCTAATTGTTCCGGACCCCCTAGTGGCCAGGAAGAGGCCCAGGATAGAACAATTAGAAATGAAAGGATCTGGGCCCCAACAAAAAAATCAAAGAACTTTCGAATAATTAGACATGAACAGCGCGTAGAGCTTCGCAAGTGGTCGCAGGAGCCTGGAGAGCGACGCGGTGGACCGCTGCAGGAACTGCGAGAACTCGGCGAAGACGACGCGGTGGTCTCCGTTCGCGTCCAGCGCTCGGAAGTAGGTCGCGACGTCCTCATGACAGGGGATTGGTCGACCCCTTCCCCAGGCTCTGTGGGGTTTTCGAATGGACCCGAAATTCTGGGCCCAGCCCTGGGATATACGATGGGGGGGCGTCCATCCTCTGTAAGGGTGCGTCCGCATAGCCCCCTTGGGGTGTGAACCAGTCCTCAGAGAGCGACCCGCACATTCACACCCACACCCTCTCACGGCATGGTGAGGGGCAACGATAAGGGGGGGGATTGGCAAATGGGGGGGGGACATCGACCTGGAATCGGCGATACATCGCTGACGGATCTTCGATGTGCCCCCGAGTGTGAATCCGAACGTTCCTGGGCAGGTTGGCGCTCTTGAGCCCCTATCGGCGATGAATGGGCGACTGGGGGTGATATCCCCCCTATGCTCAGGTCGGGCATGTCCCCCTACAGGCGAATTTTGGAAGGAAACTACACAATTGCGAAAACATGTTCGAAAGAAGCTCCATTATATATATAGAGAGATATATATATATATACACACAGACGTTCCCATGCTGTGTTTTGATGACGTTTGCAAATTATTCTTGCACTGGCCATCGCTCGGACGTCCATTCCCTGTGCTTTTGGGGGTTTCGTGCGTGGTTTTTTCTTCGCCAAATTATCCAGAATGCTCCTCGATGGTCCTCGCCGAAGGAAAAATGCACACGTCCGAGCGATGCCGAGTGCAGAGGGACACGTCCGACTTAACCCTATGCCTGTCCTCCCCCAGTCGTTGCCCCTGACAGGGGGGCCGGGCCGCGGTCCCACGGCCGCCCGCGAGCCTGTGGATGCGCTCTGCGCGGGGCATCCGCGCGGAGGAGGAGGAGGAGGAGGAGGAGGAGGAGGCGGAAAAGGAGAGGGAGGACAAGGAGGAGGAGGAGGAGGAGGAAGAGGAGGAGGAGCAGGAGGAGCAGGAGGAGCAGGAGGAGGAGGAGCAGGAGGAGGAGCAGGAGGAGGAGGAGGAGCAGGAGGAGGAGGAGCAGGAGGAGGAGCAGGAGGAGGCGGAGGAGAAGGAGGAGAGGGAGGACAAGGAGGAGGAGGAGAAGGAGGAGAATCCGTAGCCATTTGGCTCCAGGGGCCTGCTCCTGAACTTCCAACCTCGCTCGAGGGGTTCAGCCCTTTCGGTTTTCGGTTTCGTGGGGCCGCAGCCCCATTTCATCCGTGGTCGGGCACCTCCCATGTCCAGCCATGGCTTGGTGTACCCCAATTGTGGCAACAAGAAGAACCCCCCGTGGTACAAGACTTGTTATCACTTTCATGCTCCTTTTCCTCGTGTCACTCAGCAGTATCCGTCGGCGCCCCCGTTTTTGGGTGTATGGCAAGAGAATGTTACAGCAGCAGTGGGAGGAGGAGGAAATGTTCATCAGTCTGGCTTCTCAAAGAGGGCAAAACTGGAGTCAAAGCAATTAAGGGCAAAGGTGCCTACCAAGGTGCTCCAGGTCCAGAAGGCAAAGGTCTTGGCAACTGGATGTGGGTCCCCTCCAACCAGTTCCAGCAGTGTGGCAAGGGGTCAGGAGACGTTCGCCCTCCGAACTTCAGCACTCGCCCACCTCGCCCCCAAAGCGGACCCCAATCCTTGGAGCAGAGCATCCAGAACACCCTCACCCCCCTCAGGCAGGCCCAGATCGATCCAGATGTGTTTTCTCAGATCGAAACAGCAGTGAGTTTGGTCCGTCAGGAACGCTCGGCACAGCAACCCCCTTCGCACGTCTTGCGAAAAGGAGAGCAGGCGATCAGCAACAAGCAAAAGAGGCTCGAAAAAACTCCCGGGTGAAGTTCAGGAGATCTGTACCATTATGGAATCCCTCCAAATCCAGAAGACTTGTGTTTCGGAACAGGCAGACAAGGTACAGGCTGAGCTCGACACGGTCCAGCAGCACCAGGCCCAAAGGCTACGTGAACATGTTGCAGCCCCTGATGAGGGCCAAGCACATCGTAAGTTGGCAGCTATTCTCGAAACCCTCGATGATCATCCCGATAAAGATCGCATCTTGGGTGAATAACAGGTGGAGCTCCAGGAACAAGGCTTGGGAGATGAAGGGGATGAAGGGGAGGATTTTCGTGCGGGCACGCACCAGGAGCCCCTCCCCCAGCAGCGGCAAGCGCCGAACCTCCCGCCCCAGCAGCAGATGCTGCAGGAGCAGGAGCAGGAGCAGGAGGAGGCGATGTCGTCGACCCCTACTGAGGAGGCAGGGGGACGGCTGGGCCCCGCCGCCGACCTCGACGTCGGCGCCGCGCCCAACTCCGCTCCTCTAACCTCTCCGACTTCCCCATCGCGACGCGCAACGTGTCTTCGCGGGGAATGGGGGAGACTTTGCTGGGCAAAATTGATGCAGATGTGACCCTCATCCAAGAGCACAAGTTGCGGGGGCAGGGGTATCAGGATGGAGCATCAGCTCAGAGGAAGAAAGGATGGAAGGTTTTCGGGACGGCAAGTATGGGGGATTATCGAGTGGCACGTTCATCTTCGTGAAACCGCACCTCGGTGCCTGGGCCACCCCCAACCAGGAATCAGTAATCGCAGGGAGAGCCGCCAAATGCTTCCTGCGCTTTTCTAAATTCGGCATCGTCGCTATTTACTCCATATATCTAAAGTCTGGGGGCGGAAGGGGCGAAGAGAACTTGGGATACACCAAAGCTTTGGGACAAGATGTACTCAAGCACGGGCACTCCTACATCAGAGGTGGCGGCTTTAACATCCCTTTGGCCCAGTTTCTTGAGGACGTAGACCTCGTCCAACTTGATGGCAGAGTCCAGGCTGATGATTCGATCCCTACGTACAAATCGGGCCCGCGTGAATCGTACGTGGGTCACTTTGTGGTCTCGAACTTGCTGCCCCATGCGGTCAAGAATGCGCAGACGAACCTCGATGTCCCCCTTGAAACCTCACAGGCCAGTGCAGCTCGCGCCCAGTAGAGCCACGCAGTACATCTTGGCATTGGTCGCATAAGCACACGGTCGATCAGGCATAGGGTTTTCGTCACAGACAAAAAGTTTACGAAGCAACGCAAGCGTGCCCCCGAGCAGGCAAGAAACCCGTCAGCTTCCCGACTTTCAAACAGGTCCCTCTCGCCGAGTTGCTTAGGACTAAGCAGCTCGATAAGACCATGCCAGAAAGAGCGCTTGCGCGGGCGGTGGACCGTCTCACAGAACTGCGGGCGAAATACTTCTACGGACTCACGAGCACGGCCAGGCAGGAAGCACCTTGCGAAAAACGGCCGGCTTCGCCTAGACAGCTCCCCCTGCGTGGAGGGCCATTCCGCACTCCGTGGACGGAAGGTCGCAAGCATCATGATCGACTTTCTCAGCTAGCATCCGACCTCCCGAGCGCAGCAGACCCAGTCTCCCTCCTCAACGTCTCCCTCACCTTCTTCGTGCAGTTGCAGGAAACCAGCCAGGGGAAGGACAAGAAGGAGCAGCAGCAGAAGCGGGAGGACTGGTGTGGAAGGGCATGCGAGGGAGGAGGACAATTGGTTTTCAAGTTTCTGGAAACTGGTGGGCAGCAACAGGAACAGGTTAACGTGCACGGAACACGGCCCCTCGTCGTCGTTGACGGAGCTCATACAGGACCAGTTGATGTCTTGGTCTCAGAAGCCTGTGCCCGCAGTAGCACTTCGCAGAGTAGCGGCGGGCTTTAAGGGGCGCACGTGTCAGCCAGACGGGCATCGTCCACGGCATGTAGGATTCTCTTGTGATGAATGCCTGGAGGTGTTAGGTCTCGCCTATGTTCTAATGGATGTGCTTGGGGAAGCCCCCCAACAAGTACGAGCTCCCCAGCTGCTCTTGGCCCTCAAACACAAAGGAGGCGACAGAAGGTGCACAGGTGTCCTCCCTGCAACGGTACGAGTGCACGGCAAGCTTCCCGCGCGCCGCTGCAAGGGCTGGGAGAATAAGTGTGGGCTGGGGGAAGAGTTCAGTGCCAGCCAGAGTAGAAGCCCAGAAGACACGGTATGGAGACAAGCAGTTCGTAATGAAGCAGCAGCTAATGTGGGCTACTAGTTAGCTGTACTATGGGATCTAAAAAGCTTTTACGACATGATGGATCACTACACTCTCTGGAAACATGGTAAGAGAAGCAAGTATCCCATGCACGTCCGAATCAGCTCGATCAATATGTATCGCTGGCCTCGACGGGTTCTTCTGAATGGAGCGTAATATACGCAAGTGTTCTCGGAAAGAGGGATCACGGCAGGCAGTAGCCCAGCGACGTACGAAGCGAAAGCGTTTCTCCTCCCCACCATGGATGAGGTGATAGCCCACATTGCACATTGATGACCTCACTCCTTCTTGTTCGGGTCCGTCCATGACAACAGTGCTGGAGAACCTAGTCCCGCATGCATTCTAGATGAAGGGGAAGCTTGATGAGGTCTTGCTTCAGCGCTATGTCAAATATTAACGTAGTAGGTAGTTGTACTGGTTTTGAGGGCAAAGCTAAAGCAGTACTACAAGAGCTCGCTGGCGCAAAAGTTTGGTCAGCGGAAATCTGGGCATCGATTTCCAGGTCGGCAAGAATTCCAGTCAAGGCAAAGCTAGAGCAATGCGCAAACGACGACTTCTCACGCGCACGGCCAAAGCGAAGAAGCTTCACCGCATGAAGGGCACCAAGATAAAGCAAATGAAAGGAAGATTCTTCTTAACTGGAATACGGTCCACACTTCACTACGGCGCGGCCACAACAGGATTCACCCCAGGTGAGATCCGAATGTTAAGGACCCTTCAGGCTGAAGCCTCACCTTGGTATCAGAAGCGGGCCCAGTCTGACTTGTGGTGGGCTACTGTTAGCTCAGTTGAGAAGTATCCACTGCATCTGGCGGCAGCTGGGCTTGAACGTTATGCCATGGAATGGTGGATCACGACAGCGCCGCGTCACAGCCAGAACTTGCATGCCGACGCGTTGTCGCCAAAGAAGTTGGATGCAGCTTTCAGGTCGGCCAAGACCCATCTCAGAACCACGAAACCCAAAACGTGGCTTGGGCAAACGACGGGCCCTGTAAGCATGACTCTCCAATGGCTACGAGCAGGCAACTGGTCAATAATTTCTCCCACCCACTTCGAGGACTCGCAGGGCAACCCATACAGCTTGTTGCATACCCCTCCAAATCTTGTAGCCCAGGCGCTTGTGGCGGATGTATTGAACCAGACGGTCCAGGAGTACGCCAGGTCCAAGTTTCCAAGTTTCCAGATAACCAGGTCATAGTCAACCAGGGGCTTTGGTGGGAGCTGTTTCAGAGAGCTTCGACCGGGACAAGGAAACTAACAACACGGCAATAGAGGCGATGCCGAGCAATATTTTGTGGTGGATACACAGCATGACAACATCTGCAGCAATGATCGTTCAGGAGCCTGCCCGTACTGTGGCCAGGAGGACACAAGATACCATCGCATCTGGGTGTAGTTTCTATGAAGAGCTCAGACAGGAGGTGTTAGAGAACGTCGTATCAGATGCAGTAGCAGCAGGACCAGGACATCCTCTCTCCTGCCGTCTATGGGCACCTCGTCCCGACCCTCCAGCAGTTGCAGATGACTGGTGATTTCAGCATTTCGATATCCATGGGCCTTGTGATCCAGGTTTGCTTGCAGCTGATCTACCTATCTTTATTGATGGAAGTGATTTAAACCCAACTTGGAAAGATCTCCCTCGGGCAGGCTGTGGGGCAGCGCAAATCACACCCTCAGGCCAGCTTCTACGAGCAGTTCGTTCCCCTCTCCCAGGCTGGCTTTCTCAAAATTCCAGCAATGCAGAGCATGGCAGTTTGGTGATAACCCTACAGTTTTCGGAACATCCCAGAACTGCCCCGCTTATCCTGGACTATTCAGGGCTCATGAAGGGTCAAAATCCAGGTCGGGCCCTTCATGGGCACTCTAAGTTTGCTGCTTACTGGCGTGCGGTCGGTAACATCCTCCCACCTCCTGATTGGCCCCAGCTCAGGAAGGTCAAGGCACATAGGAAGTTGGAGCAGGCAGTGGACGAGGAGGGCACCTACCTCATCCTAGGCAATAGAGCAGCTGACCATCATGCAGGGCAAGCAGCATCAGCACATGCAGTGGGACAGGATCAGGCAGAGGAGTGGCAGGCTGGCAAACACATGTATGAGGACCTCTTGGTTGGAATGGGTTTTATATTAGACGCCTGGCCTGACAACGAGGCCCTCTACGACGACCTCGAGAAACCGGCTGTCCAGAGACAGCCCAGAAGATTTGTCACACAGCATGTTCCCATACGGCATGGGTCAGGATTCAGATGTGAGAAATGTTTTGCAGCAGTGAAGCCAGGCACAAAGAAACCCTGTAGACAGCTGCCAGCAGCACTCAGGAATGTTTTAGCACAGGCACGCACACAAAAACATGTCCTGAACTTAGGCTGGATCAAAGGCAGTGGCGACATACCGATTGTGTTTTGTACCCGGTGTGGTGGATTCACCACAGGGGCTAAGAATGCTCCCAAGCTGTGTGGCCTCTGTCCGCGCAAGGTTTCGTCGGAGATCCGTAAGCTTCGCAAGCAAGAAGTGCCAGGAACCTCCTTAAAATTTCATGATGTCACCACGTTTTAGTGGTAGGGATTTCTTATGTTGGAAATCAGGGCAAGGACCGTAGCAGGAGCATGCAGGAGCGTACCCCAACGGCCCTTCCTCTGGTAGTTTTGTCTCAAGCTGCTGGCTGCTCTTTTCCCGTTTCAGCCCCAGAAGATGCCATGTCGTCGCGTCCCACGGCCACCTACCTTGTCTGCGAGAACTACGCTCGCTGTGGAGGATGGATGTTCGAGTCGCGCTTCTTCTTCAATCCCCGCAAGCTATGCAAATGCGGGGGCAATGGGGCCCCGACTTTGAGTGGACTTTCAACGGCTACGGCTACTCAGGGTACGGGGATCAGCAGCACCACGCAGTAGCACCAGTGCCACCAGCAGCAGCAGGAGCAGCAGGGGTTGCAGGAGCAGTAGGTGTGAGCCAGCCCGTTGTGCCAGTGCCTCCAGCCCCTCCGCCTCCGCAGGCCCTGCCCAAGGCCAGACCCCGTCAGCCCGTTTCCAAATGGAGGGGGCCAGATGGCCGCAGGCTCGCAGGTGCCAAGCCCCCGCTTCCGAAGGGGCCCCCTCCGCCCCATCTGAGGGGGGCCTCTTTTAAGGCCCCGTCGAAGGCATCCAGCGCTGCTGTGAAACCCAAGGCTGCCCCCAAGCGCCGCTCTGAGACCGCTGCGCTGAAGGCGCGGATCAAGAGGTCCAAGCGAATCGTGGACACGCAGCGTGGCCTGCGCAAGGCAGCTTTGCACGAGTCATACGCCCTGTGGGGCCGCGTCTCCAAGTATAAGTCGGAGCTGCGCTCCTTTGGTCAGGACGTGACTGATGACACCGACGCCGACCGTGACTGAGAGTAGAGGTTCATTATGGGATGCGGGCATTTCTCAGTATCTGGGGAACTCTCAGTCGTCGGTGTCATCCTTTCCCCACTCCAGTTTAGGGCGCTGGATGGGTCGAGTTGCAGTTGCCCTTTAAGGAGAGGCCTTGGGAAGATCTTGTGGGATATGAGGATAGGTGGTTGCAGCTGGTGGATGCAGTAAGGGCCTCTCCTCCTCCCCCCTCCTGCCCTTTTTCACCCGAGTGGTGACGGCGGCACGGTGCAGGAGCTGGGGGAGGCACTGTCTCTCTGCTCTGTATTATTATTCTTATTATTATTATGATTATTGTTGTTAGTATTATTATTAGTTTTCTTATTCTTACTCTTCTTATTAATAGTATTATTCTTATTCGTATTTATCATATTATTCTGCTTACTATTATTATTACTATTATTAACATCATTATTATTATTCTTCTTTTTCTTATTATTATTATTATTATTATTTTCTCTCTCTCTCTCTCTCTCTCCTCCTTCTCTCTCTCTCTCTCTCTCTTTCTCTCTCTCCCCCCTTCCGTTGCACCTTGAGCGGTGTACAGTTGCAGTAGCAGCAGTAGCTCCACCTCGGTGTTTCGGATTATTGCTGTGGGTGCGTGTGAGGAGGAGGAGGAGGAGGAGGAGGAGGAGAAGGAGGGGGAATATGAGGGGGAAGAGGAGGAGGAGGAGGAGGAGGAGGAGGAGGACGAGGAGGAGGAGGAGGAGGAGGAGGAGGAGGGGGAGGGGGAGGGGAAGGGGAGGGGGTCGCGGCCGAAGAGACCAGAAGACGAGGCTGTCGACACGGATCTGTTTCCCGCCCACGGCGTCCTCCGTGGTGTGGGGAAGCTTGAGGTCCCGCAGGGCCTTGATGACCTCCTTGATGTCGAGGCTGTTGTTGCAATCGGTGTCCAGCAATGCGAAATTCTCTGACATCGACGACTTCGATCCGAACCGGTGCAGCAGCTCCCTGCGCCATGTCAGAGAGAGACTGCGCTGGTACAGTATGTCGAACTCCGTGTCGAACTCGAAAAGCTGCGAAATCGGGCGCTCACCCCACTTGCTGTTGTTCCGCCGCTTGCACATGGACATGTACTCAAACCACTTGCAACGCTCGAGCGGGGTGTTCAGCTGCATCGCCTGCACGAGGAGCGACAGCTCGCTCGAGGAATACTGAGTGGCGCAGTCCATCAGCTTGTAGCACTGGCTCGCCAGCGTCCTCTGGTAGGGATGGCCGCTTGGAAAAGAATCGATCGCCTGAGAGCCCACCATGGAAGGCTTGGGAGACATTCCGTACGCCAGCTGAAGACCGGTGTCCGCGCACTGAAGAGACACGGCCACGCTCTGTCCGCTGACGACGGCCTTACCCCTCCGCGCGTGCAATATGCGGCGAACGGTAGCGGCCTCCCCCAGGGACACCACAACGAAGAACCGCCCGCCCTGCTTCTTCCTGTAGCGCCTGTCGCAGAGGAGCGACCAGAGCCCGTCGCCTTGCCACGAGGCGAGGGCGAGACGGAGGCACGATGACGACGGAATAGGAGCGAGGCAGACCAGGAACGTACGAGGCCCAGCGGGCCCGCAAGATGAATCGGATGCCGCGGCCGTTCCGGAGCGTCTGAGGGCACGCTGGGACGGTCCGTCGTTATCCTGAGCATGCCTGCGCGTGCCACGGACACGGGCCCTGGACCCCAGGGCCTCCCCTGAGGCGGGCCTTCGGTCCCGAGCCCTGCTGTGGGCGGTCTCGCGGCCCGGGGGCAAGCGGATGGAGCAATGGGAGGCCGACGACGGCGAAGGACACCCTGGGACCCCTGTCCTCGGGACACATTTTCTCCATGGCGACCGTGCAGTAGCCGCCCAAGGACCCCTCTCTATCAAGGGATGCGTTCTGACAAAGAAAAGTTTCGTAGGGAATCCTGCCGTGGAGACCAGAGGCCTCGCAGAAGCCCCACATGGATAGCATACGAAAAGCGTGATCCTTGAAGGCCGCGCGCACGGGGCCAGAGCAGATGGGGTCGGAAGGTCGCACAGCTTCGCCGATTCGGGATTGCGGAGCACGAGCTCTGGATCAACGGCGATGCGGCATCGGCGATGCGGCGCGATCCTTCAAACCTCCAGCCCCATCTGCTCCAGTTCAGGCTGGAAGAAAACGACAACAACCTACATCCTCTGGAGAATTACATGACAGAAACTTCACGAGCCAAAGCAGGTGCGCCTGTCTTCGATTCCCCTCGCGGGCCGACCAGCACGAATGAGGTCTGACTGAGAAGGGTCACGATACAATTGTCCTGCGCGGTTCGATCCAGGAATCCTCGCACCCTCGAGCCTGCCCAGAAGTGGCCCCCAGACCCCTCGCAGGGCCCACCCTGGACGGCTTCTCACGCCGGGCTGCGCCCTGACGGAGAGCGAGGCCCGAAGCGGGCCTCCATGAAGGGGCCCTGGGGCACACTAATAAATACACACGGATGAAAAAGGTTCCCCACATGTTCCCATATTTTCTGGTTTTTTGTCTTCCCCCCCAATTTCCATATTTTCCTATATTTTCTGGTTTTTTGTCTTCCCCCCCAATTTCCATGTTTTCCCATATCTTCTGGGGAATCGACGATGAATTGTGTCTGTGTGTGTGTTTTTCCCCCATCCTGACTCCAGAGGCCGAGAACGGCGAATCACGCCGCTGGGGCCTGGAGGGGGGGAGGGGCCGAACGGAGGCCGGTGGAGTGGAAAGGGGAGGATGAGAGGCGGGTTAAGAGGAGGAGGAGGAAGAGGAGGAGGAGGAGGAGGAGGCGTAAGAGGAAGAGGAGGAGGAGGAGGAGGAGGAAGAAGAGGAAGAGGAGGAGGAGGAGGAGGAGGAGGAGGAGGGGGAGGATCCTTGCTGTCCCTTTTTCCCGCTTGCTCTCGCCCTGATCTTTCCATCCCGCATTGTACAGGCATCACACCTCTGCTTTGAACTGTAGGTAGATAGAGAGAGACATAGATAGACAGGCAGAGGGACAAATCCATATATCCGCTGGCCCCCTTGTGGGGCCACCAGGCTGTAGGGCTAAGGCTCGCAGTTTCCTGTACCAGTTGCAGCTTCCAGTTTCCACTGTCACAGTTCTGCTTCTTGCTGCTCACTGTTCCTTGTTGACATGTTGCTGCTTACTGTTCCTTGTTGATGGACCGCGCGAGGGGCGGAGGCCCAAAACGGGCATTTCTACCACGCCCAAGACGTGTTGTCTGAATTGCTGGGGTGGGTAAAAAATTACAATCCCTCACGCAGATCGGCGGGGTCAGGGTCCAAAAACACATGGGATTTGCCACACGTCTGACATTCGGCGGCACCCCTCACGCAGATCGGCGGGGTCAGGGTCCAAAAACACATGGGATTTGCCACACGTCTGACATTCGGCGGCAACCCTCACGCAGATCGGCGGGGTCAGGGTCCAAAAACACATGGGATTTGCCACACGTCTGACATTCGGCGGCACCCCTCACGCAGATCGGCGGGGTCAGGGTCCAAAAACACATGGGATTTGCCACACGTCTGACATTCGGCGGCACCCCTCACGCAGATCGGCGGGGTCAGGGTCCAAAAACACATGGGATTTGCCACACGTCTGAAATCCGGCGGCACCCCTCACGCAGATCCGTAGGGTCAGGGTCGAAAAACAAACAGGTCCCGACACTGCTTCACGGCGGCTCCCAGACCTCATGATTTAGCTTTTGCATCTCCCATTATCCGAGAGAGGGGGCCGGCGGCGGGGGGCGAACCCCTTACGGAGATATATATATATATATAGAGAGAGGAGAGGAGGAGGAGGAGGAGGAGGAGGAGGAGGAGGAGGAGGAGGAGGAGGAGGAGGAGGAGGAGGAGGAGGAGGAGGAGGAGGAGGAGGAGGAGGAGGGAGGAGGAGGAAGGGAGGAGGAGGAGGAGGAGGAGGAGGAGGGGGAGGAGGGGGAGGAGGAGGTGGAGGAAGAGGAAGAGGAGGAGGTGGAGGAGGAGGAGGAAAAGGAGAGGACTGGACGCCATGACAATGTCATATCCGAAACGCAACGTCTCCTGACCTGTAAGGCCCGCTGGAGAACAAGGAACCTGAGGCGACCGAACTGGAGGAGCATCAAACCCAAGACTGCCAGCCCCATTTGTGGAGACCGCAGCGCCCACATGACTGCAATGCGCATCAGCAAATAAACGACGAGGCGCGGCTAATCATAACCATTCTTCAGAAAATACCTTCACCATATTGGCTGAACACGTAATATCATGTCCCTGGGACTTTTCTGCATGGGAAGATGCCCACAACAACGTAGCATGAATTGAATTAGACGCGAACAACTGACATGATGAAAGGTGAAACAACACCCCCGTGGGAGTCGCAACAAGTCGGTGCGTCTGCCGTGGCAAAAAAGGCGCCACATAGGCACAAAGGCAAAAACACCTCCCAGACCACCATCGTGCACTGATCCCACCAAACGTAAAAATACGTGGCACTTTGCACGGTACTGCAAATCACGCAAACCATTTCGCCAAACACACAGGGCATGACTGCCCGCCTCCTGATGCGCCCAGTGCCACAAGGGACCAAACGCGAATGAATACCAAGTGCGAAACACAGCCCAATACAAATTGCAATGCCCTCACCAAGCGGCGATGGGAGCTGCTGGCACTGTAGCAGACTATGCCTAGCCTCAGCTGGGCGTGGAACAGACAAAAGAAGTACGCTACCCTTGCGGCAGTGGGAGGTTCCTGCACTGAAGATGAAAGGACCAAAGAAGGTCCCAGCATCGAGGCTGCTGGCCACCTGCACCGACCACTGGACGATGAGAACCTGCACCTTGCCTGGCCGCCACAGTGTATGCAACCACTGCTTACTTAATGAAACATGCACCCAGAGCAAATCCAATACTGATCAACGAAGTTGCAATAATCGGCGGTGGACAAGCCTCCGTTTAGTAAACCTCCCCTTAGTGAAAACGGCCTGGGACCGAAACCGACGGACCTGGACCCGCAAAAATAACGGCCGCGACGCCCTCTCGCGAACCGAAAACAGCCAATTCCTTACTCGACGTGTCAGGGTAGGAGGCCCCGAAATAAACCCTCCCACCAAGTTCCCTCTGCAAAAGGCTCCTGCATGGATCGATTTTCACTGCGGGGGGAAGCCTCGCTGGCAAACAACCGTTTCAAAATCTTCCACCGTGCCAGAGCGCCACTCCTGTGACACAAACGCCGTGAATAATCTTAAATCGGGCCTGTCCCCCTACAGGCCGATTTTGGACGAAAAACTAAAAATCCCCCAGAGGATACCCGAATGATACCGGAGAAAAACCACAATCATCATCTTTTTAGGGCTGTAGGGCTATAGGGCTACAGGGCTATATGGGCTCTTGGACGCTACATAGGCTATTGGGCTATATGGCAATATGGCCTATAGGGCTATAGGGCTACAGGGCTATTGGGCTATAGGGCTATCGGAGGTGAGGGGGTGAGATCGAAGTGGAACGGGGATCCCCCCTACCGGGAAATCGGTTTCGGTTTCGTATTCGTGCGTGCCGTGCGTGCGGGTGAGGCGAAGCTGCGTGGGCGGGCGACAAATGTCCCGCCTCTGGCTGAGGCGCGGCCGGACCAAATGTTTCCTGTCCGGGGGCTGGTGGCGCGCGGTGTCCCGCCAGTGTCCCGCTGGTGTCCCGTCGGTGTGACGATGATGATGATGATGATGATGATGATGATGATGATGATGATGATGACGATGTTGATGATGATGACGATGATGATGATGATGATGGTGGCCATGGTGGTGATGACGATGGTGTCCCGATGATGATGATGATGATGATGATGATGATGATGATGATGATGTTGATGATGCTGATGTTGCTGGTGATGATGGTGTCCCGATGGTGATGAGGTTGATGATATGATGATGTTGATGATGATGATGATGAGATGATGACGATGAAGATGATGATGATGATGATGATGGTGTCCCGATGATGATGATGAGGAGGTTGATGCTGATGCGGTTGATGATGAGACTGGTGATGATGATGGTGTCCCGATGATGATGATGATGGTGATGATGATGCCGGTGAGTGTGTCCCAATGATGATAATGTTGATGATGAGGATGATGCTGAGGTGCTGATGGTGATTTTGATGATAATGGCCCACTGATGCTGATGATGATGATGTTGATGATGATGGTGTCTCCATGATGATGATGATTATGCTGATGGTGATGCTGATGGTGACGATAATGATGAAGGCGTCCCGATGTTTATGATGTTGATGATGATGGTGATGTTGCTGGTGATGATGATGGTGTCCCGATGATGATGATGATGTTGATGATGCTGATCACGATGATGATAATGAAATGATGATGACGAAGGCGATGATGATGGTGGTGTTCCGATGAGGTTGATGATGGTGTCCGATGATCATGACGATGTTGCGGATGATGATGATGATAATGATGATGGTGACGATGTTGGTGTCCCGATGATGATGATGATGTTGATGATGCTGCTGGCGCTAATGATGATGGTGTCCCGATGATGATGATGATGATGATGTTGATGGTCCTGATGACGTTGATGATGATGAGCTCATGAGATGATGATGATGATGAAGATGATGATGATGGTGTCCCGATCATGATGATGAGATTGATGATGATGCTGTTGATGATGATGATGATGATAGTGATGATGATGGTGTCTCGATGATGATGGTGTTTATGATGATGATGATGGCGATGATGGTGTTCCGATGATGATGATGCTGATGACGAGGATGATGATGAGGGGATGATGATGATTTTGATGATGGTGGCCCGGTGATGATGCTGATGCTGATGTTGATGATGATGGTGTACAAGATGATGATGGTGAGGATGATGATGGTGACGATGATGATGGTGTCCCGATCATGATGATGTTGATGATGATGCTGATGTTGCTGATGATGTTGATGGTGTCCCGATGATGATGATGATGATGATGTTGATGGTGTTGTGCATGTTGATGATGATGAAATGATGATGATGATGACGGGCGTGTTCCGATGATGATGATGATGGTGTCCCAATGATGATGGTAGTGATGATGATGATGGTGACGATGATGGTGTCCCGATGATGATGATGGTGATTATGATGATGTTGATGATGATGGTGATGAGGTGATGGTGATGATGATGTCCCGATGGTGATGATGATGATGATGATGATGCGGATGACGTTGATGACGATGATGTCGATGATGATGATGATGATGATGATGATGATGATGATGATGATGATGACGTTGATTGTGCGATCGATTGTGATATCGATACTGAAATCGATAGTGAGACCGAATTTGAGATAGATTGTGAAATCGATAGTGAGATCGATAGTGGGATCAATTGTGAGATCGATAGTCGGATCGATTGTGAGATCGATCGAATGAAATAGATCGGGTGAGATCGATTGTGAGATCCATCGAGTGAGATCGATCGAACGAGACCGATAGTGAGATCGATAGTGAGATCGATAGTGAAACCGATCGAGTGAGAACGTTGGTTCCTCCCCCCCCCGAACCTCCTTATCACCCGAAGGGTGGTCGTATAGGTAGGGCTATAAGGCTATAGGGCACCCCCGGGCACCCGGGCACCCCCGGGCACGCCCGGGCACCCAGGCACCCGGGCACCTGGGCACCCCCGGGCACCCGGGCACCCGGGCGTGCGGCGAAAATCGGCGGCAAACCTAACCTAACCTTATGAATATTGAGCTGCAGGGCTATAGAGCTATAGGGCTATAGAGTTGTAGGGCTATAAGGCTATTGGGCTATAGGGCTATAGGGCACCCCCGGGCACCCCCAGGCACCCCCGGGCACGCCCGGGCACCCGGGCACCCGGGCACCCGGGCATCAGGTCACCCCCAGGCACGCCCAGGCACCCGCGGGCACCCAGGCACCCGGGCACCACCAGGCACCCCCGGCACGCGGGCACCCCCGGGCACCCGGGCACCCGGGCGTGCCGCGAAAATCGGCGACAAACCTAACCTAACCTTATGAATATTGAGCTATAGGGCTATAGAGCTATAGGTCTATGGAGTTGTAAGGCTATAGGGCTATTGGGCTGGGCTATAGGGCTATAGGGCACCCCCGGGCACCCCCAGGCACCCTCGGGCACGCCCGGGCACCCCCAGGCACCCCCGGGCACGCCCGGGCACCCGGGCACCAGGGCACCCAGGCACCAGGGCACCCCCAGGCACGCCCGGGCACCCGCGGGCACCCAGGCACCCGGGCACCCCCGGGCACCCCCGGGCATCCGGGCACCCGGGCGTGCCGCGAAAATCGGCGACGAGCTTATTCTAACCATATGAATCCGCAAGGACCCCTACAGAGGCAAGCTCTGATTGGGAAAAAATGGTCCAGTCCCCTGACTATTTTTTGCTATTTTTGAATATTCCCCCTGTAGAGGGACAGGCCCGACTTAACAATAATCGTGACCGTCGCGCCCTGTGATTGCTAAATCTTACGCGGACGCATTTTCTGGGTCGCGAACACGGCAAATCAACGTAACTGTCACGCCCTGACACTTCTAAATCGTGCCGGAGCCCCGTTTCTGGGGCGTCAACCAGAAGAGCCCTTCAACTGCGGCATTCTGTTATGACAAGTGTGCGCAGCGCTCATGCAAGAGCCACATGTTGAAAAAGAGCCGTCATCCATCTGTGAGCCTCTAGCAAGCTTTTCAGACGAATGTGCGCGGCGCGAAGGCGAGAAACACATTTTGAAACCGCCCGACACCCACCCGTGAAAATCTTGCAAACTTTTAGGGCGAATGCGCGCGGCGCTGGGGCGAGAGCCACACTTTGATAACCGGGCCGCCTTCCTCCATCTGTGAGGCCCTCGCAAACTTTGAAGACGACTGTGTACGGCATTCAAGCGAGAACTGCATTTTTCGAACGAGCCGCCTTCCATTTGGCAAACTCTTGCCAACCCGTACAACGAACGCACGCAACGCTTAATCGAGAACTGCATTCTGAAACCGACCCGCCCTCCATCCGTGAAGCTCTTGTAAAAGTCAAGCTTCAGGAGCAGCAGTGATGAGGAAGTGTCAAGGGAAACGCCTTGGCCGCAGCAGGGAGGAATTATTTACAAGGAAGAGGGGTGGAGGATGAGGAGGAGAAGGTCAAGGAGGAGATGCAGAGGGAGGGCAAAGAAGCGAAACTAAGGGGCAGGGGGACGCGCAGGACGAAGACGGAGAGGAGGAGAAGGGCTAGGCGGTAGGAGGGGTGCGCGCTCAAATCCTCAGCCTGCAAGCTGTCGTCTCCTGCCCTTCCCTCGAACAGAACCTCGACCCTCGAACCTCAGGACCTCTTTCTCGGGGTCCCGTCGCCGTCGATGCTCTTGGAGTCCAGGCTGGCCTACAGGCGATCGGCATGCTGTCCCTGTGCTCCCGCTCCCGCCCATGCCCGAGGAGGGGCCAAAGCCGGGACACGGACAAACATCCGGCCTCGGGTGGCCAAGCGTAAGTCGAGCGTGTCCCCCCACAGGGGGATTTTCGACGAAACATAAAAAAATACCCCAAAAATGCCCCAAAATTGTCCAAAAAAATCAAAAAATAGTCCCCAGACTATTTTTAAACTATTTTTGATTATTCCCCCTGCAGAGGGACAGGCCCGACTTAAGGCCAGGCTTCTTGTTCCCAGGTCGCCAAACTTCGCGCATCGGCTCTCCGGCCGAGGCGCGCGACGCGAGAGGCGCGAGGATATCTTCGCGCCCTTGGGGGTGGCCCAGCTCAGCCGTGTCCTGCGCGCTTCGGTGCAGGGCTGGAGGCAGCAATACCCTGAGATCCTGGCGTCGCAACTTCCCTGGGCCGGACGTTTTCTCCCAGTTTCGGGCCCAGGACCTTCACAAATCGATCCAGCTCGCAGAATTGGAATGAAAGATGCCGTCTGGGGCTCTGGTCGTGATATCGCGACGGTGCTGCAACTCTTTCCTTACCTCGGATCTTAGGCTCGGGCGCGGGTGCAGTGTGGACAGCCGGTGGTGGACAAACAAGCAGCGGCATGGGCATGCGCGTTCAGAGGTCCGCGGGAATTGTTCGGAGTCGGTGCTGAACCCCCTCCCCTGGCGCGATGACGCGCGCCAGGAGCAACGCAGGAGGCGCCGCGGGGCGTCCAGCGCAGCGCCGACCTAAAAGCTCCGCGCTGACCTCCGAAAGCGCGTGCTGTACGACAGACGCATACGGCAAGAGATCGTACCGATCAAAGATCTAGGGACCCGGGGGGCACGTGTCCTCAAACAAACATGTTGACGTCTCGCTTTTGCTTCCGCCGCCTTCCGCCGACACTCCGCCAAAGGAGGCTCCGCCGTGTTACCTCCGCCCGCTTCCGCCGGCCCTCCGCTGGCTAGACACTGTCGTGGTGCATTCCTAGGATAAGGTAATACGCTGCCCAATGGCAAAGGTCAAAAAGGTAAGATGTGGCCCTATGGTAAAACCTTAAAACTATATGTCGTGGTTTAAAGTTTTACCCTCCGCCGGCTTCCGCCGAAGGTGTGGACCTCATCGGAGCAGGCCCTTTCCCTCGACGTCCGCCGACGTGCTTCTCCGTGCGCGGCCCCAGAAGCCGCCGGCCCCTTCCCCGCCCCAGAGCCATGCTTGCGCGGGCCCGGCCATCCACGGGCCCCAGGAGCCGAACTCTACGAAAAAACGCAGCGGGCTGGCGAGGGGGCGTGCGAAGACCTGAGATCGGAGCAAAAGCCCTGGAAATCAGAAGCGGTAGCTGATGCAAAACGGCCTGCGAACTCTCGCAGACGGAAGACAAAACGGAGTCTCGAAACGCAAACAGAACGGGAAAGCTCAAACCAGATCAACCAAAATACTTCCATGGCCCTCCACGCGCGAGCGGATCGCCTCTGCCGCGCCGCGACGGGAAAAGTGTCGCGGCGGCGGCCCCGGCGACACGCTGTGCCATGCGAGCGGATAGCGTGTCGCTCCGCTCCGCGGGGCGGCGGGAGGTTGGGAAAAGCTCGGGACGCAGACACTGGGGGCCCGGGAAGTGGATAGCGTGTCGCGCCGAAGCGTGATGGGCCTGAACAGGGGGATAGACATGCTATCAGAATGTTCTCGACGGCCCCCCCTATCACATCCCGCCCGGGAAGCCCTGCAAGCTTTCTTCGAAGCTGCAGACTTGTCCTCAGAGGGCTTCTGGGAAGGCTCGCCGACTTCTGGCTGGAAGGGCCTACCCCCTTAGCTGCCCCGATACACGATGCGCAACCCGTAGCGTATTGACGCGGAGTCCAACACGTAGATTGAAACAATAGTTCCGGCGCGATATGTTCGCCAAAACGTCGGCCGGCACGTGCGTGAAAGACGTGTTGAACACGGTTCGTGTTGCGTTTCAGCTTGCGCGTATCGGGGCAGCTAACCCGCCATCGTTGCCACGCCCTGCAGCGCATGATTGCAACACCATTGCCGCATGATTTTCGTCGTGCAGGTTTTGCGCCATCCGTAGCCGCCGAGGCTCGGATCCAGAAGCCATCCGACACGTTCTGGAGCCAGGCAGCGGAACAAAATTGCGCAATCACAGCTGGACAGCTCGTTGGCTTCATCGCCCCCTCTCGGCGGCGAACCGGGGGGGGGGAAGTGAGCGGGGGCGGGCCTTCTTAGATGGCTCGGAAGTCCCCCGGCCTTCCGAGAAGTTCTCGAAGCCTTCCCCGAAGACACAGACAGCCTCTCAGAAGGCGGAAGGCCTTCTGAGAAGCCCCACAGCCCTCTGAAAGGCCTTCTCTTTCTCTCTCTCCCCCCTTCGCTCGCTACCCTTCCTCTCACCCTCGGTTCGCCGCCAGCACGTGCGCGGCTCAGGAACGGGGGGAGGCGGGGACGTACTAAAAATGAGGCGAGGCGCCGTGCAATCTGGGAAGACGTCACGGCCCCCGCCATGGCATCCCCGTCCTCATCGCCCCCCTCTTCGCCGCCCCCGAACTCCCCCCCCGTCCTTGCCGTCGCCCCCGCCGTGGTATCCCCCTCCCCCCAGTCATCGCGCCCCTCCCTGCCGCCCCCGACCTCTCCCCCCTGGGCTCGCCGCCGAGAAACAGAACCGCACCGCCGGAGAGACCTTGGCCTCGGCCCCTCGGCGGGCCTCCTCGGCCGGCGCGCTGGCGAAGGCGCCCCCGAGCAGCGCCCCCAGCGCCCCCAGCGAACTCGGGCCGCCGCCGCCGTGCCTCTGCAGCCAACGACGTCGGCGACGGACGACGACGACAACGACGACGACGACGACGAGGATATGGCCACGGCAACGGCGTCGACGATGCCGACGAGGCTTCGAACTTCTTGGGGCGTTCCCAGGGGCCCTCGTCGCCACGGCCTGGGCGCTGGGGCAGCATTTGTTTCGAGCTTTCTAGTCACGATCGCTCGAACATCTCGACGAGGGAAATGCTTCGCCCCCTCCCCCGGGAAGCGATCCTGGCGCAGGGCCCAGCCATGTGCAAGGGTGGGTGCCGCAGAGCAGGCGGGGCGGAGGAGGGGGAGCTCCCTGTGGGGTCGCGAATCGTGCGAGGTGTGCGCTGAGATGGTTGGGGAACCGCTCTGGACGAACCTACTGTGGCCTCGGATGGACAACCCCCGATGGGGCCACGAAGCGTGGGAACGGAGCCTTAGGTGGAGCCCCCTACGGGGCCACGAAGCGGGTGAGGGGTGTGCGGGATGGGGTGGGAACCGCATGTGGGCGCACGCGCTGGAATCTTAGGTGGAGCTCCCGGGGGGCCACGAGACGTGAGATGGGCGTGCTGAAATCAGCTGGGCGGCGCTGTGTGCCCCCGCAATGGGGCCACGAAGCGCGTGAGTGGTGTGCCAGAACGGGCTGAGGGATGCTATGCGCCCCCCCTCCACCTGGGAGGCCTTCGGTGGGTCTCCCTGCGGGGCCGCGAAGCGTGTGAGGGTGTGCCGGACGGGCTGGGGGGCGCTACGTGCCCCTCCCCCCCCCCCGAGGGCTTCGGTGGAACTCCTTGCAGGCCACGGAACGTGCGCGGGAAGCGTGGGGCGTGTGCCGACGCAGGGGCATGCGGAGGGCAGGGGCAAAGAGAGGAGGAGGGAGGAGGGAACGGCGGAATGAGTCACGCGGGGCGTTGCGGATTCAGTACCACAGGGCGGCTGGGAAAAATGCAGAACAAAGAGGAAGTCGGAGGGAGCGGCGGGAGGAGTGATTCGACGCGATGCGAACTCAGAACGGGGACCTAGCACTACAGGATGGCTGGAGCGAACATAGGCGTGCTTGCTAGCGTGGGCCTCGAACGACAAGATATTGCACCGTGGAAGGGTTAGCTATGTAGCTATGTGGTGCAAGCTATGTGGTGCAACCAACGTGGTGCAAATCATGTCTGTTCGCAGTGAGTTGTCCACTCCTCTGCTCGCGCAATCATCCCACCCACCCGCAACTTAGCTTGCACAACCCATGCACAAGCGATTGCGATGAGTGCCTGGAATTGGCTGGTGCATCTCTGTGGCCGCGCTGGCCAGTGCATGCTCTCGCGCGCAGCGGCCGGATAGTTTGGCGCGACCGACGCGGCCGCGGTGGCGCTGACCGCTGGGCACTTCCCAGCGGGCGCCTCACTGCGAGTCGGCGACCTGGGCGGGCGCGGCACCACGGCAACGTCGACGACGGCAGACGCGCTGCTGACGGTGGCGATGCTGGCGACGATGGTGACAACGACGACGGTACACCCTGCGAAATGCTTAACAAATCATGGGTTAAGAAATTCAGAGTCTCAGAATCTGAATGAAAACCCAGAATGTCTATTCAAATCTTGGGATTTACATTGAAACATTAAGAATAATCGAGACTCTGGCCGAAAATTTTGGTTTTCTTAAGTATCGCCTAGAGTGTAAGGCCGGTGACAGCGCCGGTGCTGACCACGCGGGCGGCGCTGGCGGCGCTCTCGCGTGGGCGATGACGGCTCTGGAAGGAGTGCGGCGTGCGCGCGAGGCCGACGCGCGAGAACGGCCTGCACGGCGTGGTTCGGCACGGGTCGTGCCCACGCCCAGCACGCGCGCGCAACGACGTTCGGATAATTAGGTTCGACGTGCGGCGCGAGGGGCCCATTTGGCAGAATTGCATGAACATGTTGAAAGGCGATGGTTTTTATTAAACAAAAATCACAGGGGCGCGAGCCCAGTCATTGTTGTTGAAAACTGGCGTTGCAGAGCCCAATTCCGTTCTATGTTTCCGTGGCACTCGATTTGGAAACCCCTACAAAACCGAAAGTTTTTTGAAATGTTCTGGCATGCGCGCGCGACGACGCGCGCGCGTGCACGTCGTCCCACTTGTTACAAGGGGTGATTGCGACAGCACGCGCGCAAGGGCGTTCGGGCGATCCCGACATGCGCGCGCGAGGCCTGTTTGGTAGCAAGTTCTGAGCATGTTGAAAAAATACGAATTTCTCCGCAATTCGCAAGAACCCGAACGCAAGCTTTGTTTGAACATTCTCGTTGCGAAACCCGTATTCTCCCACATGATTTCGGGACACTCGATTTTGGAATCCTTACGAAACCTGGGATGATTGAGGGATTTCGGTATGCGCTCTCAACGACGCGCGCGCGTGCACGTCGTCCCATCTATTGCGAGGGGTTCTTGAAACACTGACGATTTGTGATAAACGAGTGTGCGCGCACATTTGTTTCCAAGGATGAGGGGGGGAATGCCGGCGTGCCTGGGGCCGTCCGAATTCATATTTGGGATGGGCGATGGGGCAGAAACAGACGTGCATTGCAACACGAAACAGGGCGTCGTCGATTCCGGGGGGGGGGCTTCATGTGCTTCTGGAAAGGAGAATCAGCCGTGGTGCAAGCTCTGCGGTGCAAGCGACGCGGTGCAACCTGCGCGGCCGACGGGGAGCCCACGAGGCAGACACGGAAGGACACCAAGCGAAACCTTGGCATACCCCCCCCCCAGCGCCCACGGGGCGACCCCGAGGCGCCAACAACGCGCCCACGGGCGGGCAGCAGGCGAAACCTTGGCAAACACATCCAGCGCGGGGGCGCCCACCGGGGCATCCACGGGCGGGCACCACGCGAAACCTTGGCATGCCCATCCAGCGCGGGGCGACCACGCGGCACCAACTGGCGGGCACCAAGCGAAACCTTGGCATACCAATCCAGCGCGGGGAGCCCACCGGGGCGCCAACGGCTGGGCACCAAGCGACACCTTGGCATACTCATCCAGCGCGGGGAGCCCACCGGGGCATACCCACCCAAATCTTTAGTCACACTGGTTAGAATCCTCACATGCATACACTCGTCCCGGGAAAACGGAACAAAAACTAGCCCGAACAAGAACTGCTCGGCCCGTGCCTCTCCAGCTCGGCCAGCAGGAGCTGGTCCCCGAGCCTGTCGCAGAACGCCTCGTCCAGCACCTGCGCGCGGGGCCGTCTTCCATCTCGCTTCGCGGCCTTCCTGGAGGCCCGGCGGCGTGGCAAGCGTCGGAACAGCGCGTTTGCTCCTGAGCAACAAAAATGAAGGGGCCCTGGGACACACAAATAAATACACACAAGTAGAAGGATCCCCCCTATCTTCTCATATTTTCTCGGTTTTTGTCTTCCCCCCCACTTCCCCTATTTTCCCATATTTTTTCCTGGGGATCGACGATGAATTGTGTCTGTGTTTTTGTTCCCCTCCTGAGAAGAGGCCGTCAACTCTCGGCGCCGGGTGAACCACTGGGCCTTGGGAAAATTGGTCGCGAGGTCAGCTGTCCCACGGCCCAGAGAAAACCGTGCCGCGGGGCCTCTGATCACTCCATGCCGACGTGCTCCGGGCGGCCTCCGGCGGACGACACCCTCGCCATCGCTCGGACGTCCATTCCCTGTGCTTTTTTCGGTTTCGTGCGTGGTTTTTTCGCCAAATGATCAAGGATGCTCCTCGATGGTCCTCGCCGAAGGAAAAATGCACACGTCCGAGCGATGCCAAGCACCAGGCGTCCCCGACGATGTGACGCTTTCAGTCCGCGGGCCCAAGCTGTAGAGGGAAGATATTCCATCCCCATGATCCATAATGAGCATCCCGACAGGCGAGGCCGCTTAGTAAACGCACCCACGGAGGGAATCGAACAGGGCAGGGCAGTTTAGTAAACGCACAAGGCCGCTTAGTAAGCGCAGACTGTCGGGGACTGGGCGGTTCTTCCTCCATTGAAGCTTGGTGGTCCCCAAACTGTGTGGTGGCAGACCGCGCGGTGATCTCGAAATCCCGAAGGACCTCACCGCACGGTTTTGGGACCCAAGAGGCCCGAGTTGCCCGAGACGATCTCCGAAAACGACCGGCGCACCAAAACCGTGCGGTGGCCCCGAATCCCCACAGACTCACCACACGGTGTTGTGACCGCACCGTTTGGGGTCAGTGTAGATGGGGTCGGAAGATCGCGCCGAACCGCCGCTGCATCGGCGATGCACCGGCGACGTCGGCGATTCATGGGCGCCGTCGGCGTGGAGAACATCGGGCCCCGCAGCGAGCCGCATCGCCGGGTGCATCGGCGACTCATTTGATCTGACTTCATCTTGAAGGGCCCAGACCCCTGTCATCCTGCTGGCGCCTCGGCCAGGGGACGCGGAGAAAAACGCCAAGGGAGCGGAACAAAAATTCATCCCCGTGCGCTGTTGTTCCGCACCCGCGTGTTTTTTTGTCCGCATCCCCCTGTCACCGGGGGCGATCCAGGACGAGAATCGAATCGGGTGAGGATAAATCGAGAATCTCTGCTCCGGCGGCTCTGGAGGATGTATCGGGCGCCGCAGCCTTCACAAAGCGCTCCGCAACGCTCTCAGATCGCTCCGGAACGCTCTGGAACGAATAAGACATTATATCTCGGGTCTCTACTGCCCTGGGTCAATCCAGACCCAGGTCACTCAGGCTCTCCAGGATCTGGCAAAATCCTGCAGGATCCTGCAGGGTCCTGCGCCCAAGCCCAGTTTCATGCACCCCTGACCCTGCAGGATCCTGCAAGATCCGGCGTCCTGACTGACCCCCGTTTCCTCTTCCTCCTCCTCCTCCTCCTCCTCCTCCTCCTCCTCCTCCTCCTCCTCCTCCTCCTCCTCCTCCTCCTCCTGTTTCCTGCTTCCTGATGGCATGAGGGTACTTCGCACGCTGCCGCTTACTCCGGGGGGGCGGTTGGCCACCCCTGGGGGAGTAGAGAGACATGCAGAAGATTCTGAACAAGAAGTCCGACAGATAGGTAGGAGGGAGGGAGGGCTCCTCCTTCTCCTCCTCCTCCTCCTCCTCCTCCTCCTCCTCCCCTCTCCTCTCCTCCTCCTCCTCTCCTCCTCCTCCTCCTCCCTCCTCCTCCTCCTCCTCCTCCTCCTCCTCCTCCTCCTCCTCCATTTTTTCTGCCGCACCCGCCGCGCGACAACGACGACGACAATGACAACGACAGCAACACGGAGGGGGAGATGACAAGGAGGAGGAGGAGGAGGAGGAGAAGAAGGAGGCGGAGGAGGAGGAGGAGGGAGGAGGGAGGGTGGAGGGAGGAGGAGGAGGGCGGAGGAGGAGGAGGAGGAGGAGGAGGAGGAGGAAAAGGGGAGAGCTTTAGGACCAGTCCTATCCACCGCCGAATGAGAGGGGGGGGGAATCCAAGGCAGGAGACCCTCAGAGGTTATCCTCGTCCCGGCCCCGTCCGGGATCTCTTCCCGTCCGCGGACCCGCCTCGGGCGGCACGGCCCGCGGACGGGCGGCAAGCGACGCCGCGGCGCCCGAGAGGGGGGGCTTGGCGGCGCGGAGATCGAAAGCCTCGCGCAGAAGGGGGCCCCTGGCCGAGGCCCGCGCGGGGCCCCCCCTCCTCCTCCTCCTCCCTCCCTCCTCCTCCTCCTCCTCCTCCTCCTCCTCCTCCTCCTCCTCCTCCTCCTCCTCCTCCTCCTCCTCCTCCTCCTCCTCTGCGTCACAGCGGGAACCGCGCGCAGATCCACTGCCGCTTCCACCGGAGGTCCCTGGCGGCGCAAACTTCTCGATCTGGGCGTCTTCGCTCGATTTTGTTCGGGCCACGGGGGCCTCGCGGATCGATATGCTGCTCGAAAAGTGGCGCAGGAAGATGGGGTCGTCTGGGGCTCTGGGCGTGACGTTTTACGATGTTGCAATTTGTCCGCTGCGTCGGATCTCAGGGAAGGTATACGGGCCTCGGTCTGCAGGCGTTGGAAGTACAGCCAACACGTATCACACAGACGCGCCAGAAGGATGCAAGGGGCCTTGGAAGGGCGCGTCGAAGCTCTGCGAGCGGGGCGCAGCCAGCGAAAACGGCCAAGGATGGACCGAGGAGGCAAGGATGCAACAGTACCCTTGGTAAGGTTGCCCGTCTCTACTATGCGTGTGGACTGTACGGGCCTCGGCCGGAAGGCGTTGGAATAGGGGGCCACATGCGAACCCTACCCCTACCCCCCACCATTTCGGAGGGGGAGGGTGGGGTTCACTTCGCTCGGGAGCTCCCGAGCGAAGTGAACCCCATCCTCCCCCTCCGAAATGGTGGGGGGTGGGGGTAGGGTTCACATGTGGCCCCCTAGGGTAGAGTAGAGCGGGCCCTGGGAGTCCGACATTTCCTGCTTTCAGCGACAGGCGTGCGGGCCTCGGTGGAAACGAAGTGCACGTGCGCGCGGGCATAGATTCTCGACGTCGGCGCTGTTCGCAAAGAGCGAGGGCCGGGGACACGAGGGTCTGAGGGCCCCCCGGAGACCCAGACCTGGCCCAAATCGGGGCGTTCCCCCGAGACGCCGACCTCGGCAGCCTCGACCTGTGCCCACTCGGTCGAAACATTCAGTCCAACGCACAGATCCGCTAAGGTATACGGGCCCTCCGCCGGAACCGTAGCCCAACGATCGCGAACCTACCCCAGAGACTGTCCACTATATTGTGCGCGGCGGCGGTGGTGAGCTTAGTGCAAGGTTTTCCCAGCTGCCGCTTGGAACTCACGAGCGACTAGAAGCTCACGGGCCTGAGTCTCTAGAAACTCGTGAACTTGTACCAACGCGCCTGCTGAGTTTCTGGAAACTCATGGGCCTGAGATTCTAGACACTCGACAGGCAGTAAAAATGTTGACCCTGAGTTGCCTCATGAGTTCCCAAGAACCTTGGGGGCCATGATGCATGCTCCTGCCCCCGACTGACTGTGTGCTCGCGCCGTTCGGGGCAGAAGCGTGGCACACCGCTGCGCCGTCCGCGCGGAGGTGGTGCTGTCTCCTGCCTCCATCCTGCGCTGGGCAACCACGCGTGAACCATATCCCTGCAGGGCAGATCTCTGAAGATCTGGCCATGGTTCAGAATCTGACGGATACCTGCAGCCAGGCGAACCCCAGAGGGGTTTACGGCCAGACCTAGGACAGAAGAGCATCATCCAAGAACATGAGACCTTCCGCCGACCAAACCGACGAGGCTTCAAGGGTACCCTCCCCCAGGATGCACAAGAACATCCAACCGACACGAAGAACAATAGGGTACCCTCCTCGAAACGACCTCGATAATCCGCCGGCCCCCTTGTGGGGTCACGAGGCTGTAGGCGCGGGTTCGCAGTTTCCTGTACCAGTTGTAGCTTGTAGTTTCCAGTGTTACAGTTCTGCTTCTTGCCGGTTACTGTAACTAATTGATTGACCGCGCGAGGGGGGGGGAGGCCCAAACAAGATTTTTAGCGTCTCCTGGGCGCGTTGTCTGAATTGCTGGGGGGGCTCGAAATTGAAACCCCTCACGCAGATCCGCGGGGTCAGGGTCCAAAAACACAAGGGATTTGCAACATTTCTGAAATTCGGTGCCACCCCTCACGCAGATCCGCGGGGTCAGGGTCCAAAAAAACATAGGGGATTTGCCACATTTCTAAAATTCGGTACCACCCCTCACGCAGATCCGCGGGGTCAGGGTCCAAAAACACAAGGGATTTGCCACATTTCTAAAATTCGGTGCCACCCCTCGCAGATCCGCGGGGTCAGGGTCCAAAAACACACGGAATTTGCTACATGTCTGAAATTCGGTGCCACCCCTCACGCAGATCCGCGGGGTCAGGGTCCAAAAACACATGGGATTTGCCACATTTCTGAAATTCGGTGCCACCCCTCACGCAGATCCGCGGGGTCAGGGTCCAAAAACACAAGGGATTTGCCACATTTCTGAAATTCGGTGCCACCCCTCACGCAGATCCGCGGGGTCAGGGTCCAAAAACACATGGGATTTGCCACATTTCTGAAATTCGGTGCCACCCCTCACGCAGATCCGCGGGGTCAGGGTCCAAAAACACATGGGATTTGCCACATTTCTGAAATTCGGTGCCACCCCTCACGCAGATCCGCGGGGTCAGGGTCCAAAAACACAGGGGATTTGCCACATTTCTGAAATTCGGTGCCACCCCTCACGCAGATCCGCGGGGTCAGGGTCCAAAAACACATGGGATTTGCCACACT